TTATAGTAAATACCCTGTATATAAATGATTGCAAATGGAATGTGAAAATTGAATAAAATATTTTACACAAGAAGTTCTATTCAGGAAATAGTGCAAATCAGCAGCAGCATAAATCTTTTCCACTTCCAGTAGCAAAAGTTGAAGAAGCTGGCATCTTTCTGTTCTGATAGGAAATTTCTAGATATGCATGGCTCTTACGTGTGTTCGTAGTCATTGTAATCTCAAAATGTGCTCCAGAAGATTGGAAGGGGCCTCCAAAAAAACAAGGATTAGGAGAAGGAATAAGTGTGTGAAAAATTTTTTTGTGTGGCATTGGATTCTCTCAAGAATTATATTTGTATTACCTTTCTGTAAAGCAACAGCAACAACTGGAAAAGGATAATTTAGGAACTTTTTATTTGGTGTTAAAACTTGACATTGCTGTATCTAAGATAAAAGTATGTTAAAATCATTTATGAATCAGGTACTTATATGCTCAACTAGATATGTCTCATTAATGACGTTATATAAGTAAAAGTTGTATGTAACCTTTAACTGGGCAAAATATTGCATCCATCATAGGGCAACAATTATTGAATCAAGGTAGATCAAATCAGCTAACTTACAGAATGTATCCAGGATCCATGATTTTCATGGTATTCAAAATGGACAAATTTGTAGTTGCTTCATTGCTGCTGTGCCGTTGCCCGCGGGTTCAGTAGACTTGTCATTAAAATTGGTTTTCATCTTCATAGATGAAGAAACTGAAGAGTTATATCTTGTGGATTTTACTCAGAAGATAATTGACAAACGGAGAGAAGTACAAGAACTATGTGCCAGTGAAACTGCCAGAAAAGCAATGGGGGATGAAAATGGGGAAGGAGAGAGATTCTCCGAAGCAGAGATCCCACCGCCACAGAACCCAGATGAAGAATGGTTGGTGATTGTATCATAATAGCACTATTGTGTATTGCATAACTTCACTGAAATCAAATGAAATAATCTGACTTCAGTTTATATTGTATCTTTATTATAATATATTTGCACTGCTAGTCCTTGGAAGTTAATTTATAAGCTTAACTAGTCTGCTTGTTATTCTATTTGACAGAAATAATCATGTTAAATTGTTATGCTTTTGAAAGATTTGAAATTAATTTACTCATCAAAGTTAATTTTTTTTTTCATTGTAGGGTTGAATATGTGGATTATTTAGGCCGTTCAAGAAGATGTATGAAGAAAGATTTGCCCTTTTTGCTAGAAAGGGATAAACTGAACCAGGATGAGAGGTAAACTTTATTGTAGAAAAACACTTATGTAAAAAAACATCCACCCAATTTTATAGGGAAAAGAGACAGAAATGGCTGCTAAAATGATATGGTTTTCTTCTCTTACCAGAGGTAATAGTTTTGTAGTCTTTGTAGTAAACTAGTCTATATCTGAAATCCTATGTGTTAACTATGCTATTTGTGCCTTTACAATGTTGACTTAAATGAGGGAACTTTGCTAAATCCAAAAATAAGCCTCTAGACATATAAATCTGTGGAAATACACTTGAGGTGGGATTTCACTTTGTTCCTCTTTCTGTAGCCGTCTGTATATTCCAAAAACTTGCTTAAGCAACTTTTAATCCTCCAGAATAGATTTTTGAGGTAAATATGGGCAGTAGTAAGGCAGAATGTGGTCTGCTCATGTTATTCTATCAACAGATGATTATGTACTGAATATTATCCAGTCATATGCGTTGTAATACAGTTGTAATACTGTAAACACATTAAAGGATACAGTTTTACAAGCCTGTGCTTGTTGAGGACTGGAAGGAACATATCTCCATAGTTTCATATTTTCAGTAATGGCATTTTTATTTCTAAAAAAATATTTTGCCTAACTAAAATTAGTTGAGTCTTCTTTTAATTGTTTCACACCTACACAGTATTATGCAAACCAAGACTATTGGGATCTATTCTGTTCTGTAAGACTCAATATTGGGGAACAGCTATAAAGTTTAGGATGTTCTCTCATATACCACTTTCCATTCTTAATGTTTTGTTTTTTTTAATTATTCATGTAGGCCAGGGAATGAAAAAAAGACTCTGCAGTCAGAAGACATGAGAAGAGAGCTTCAGCGACAGGAATGGGAAAGAGAAGAAGAAGAAGCGCTGAATAAACCTATGGGGCCAATTCATTATGAAGATATTCGAGAAAATGGTAGGCTGACTCTTTTTATGATTCAAATCTGATTTGAAAAATATCACACAATTTAACGTCAAGCTAAATTTCTCTTCTACTTGGTTAAAATAGGGATTTTTTAAAGAATGATAGTTCCGATGCAGACTTGTTGGGCTGTTATATTAATCACTCTTTGTAATTAGAGTTTTATATATAAAACTACCCTATTCCAGTCTTTAGTGGAAAAAAATAGTTTGGTGTCCTGGTTTAAAGGCATCAGCCAAGAAACTGGAGCCAGCTGGGTGATTTGGGCCAACTCCTCTCTCTCAGTTCTTGGAAGAAGGCCATAGCAACCATTTCTGAAAATTTTGCCCAAAAAACTGCAGGGAAAAAAATACATGTAGTCCTCAAGTTACGACCATTTGTTCAATGACTGAAGTTATGACCGCACTGACCAAAGAGACTTGTGATTAGTTCTCGAAGTTCCTGTCTTGCAGGATCCCCCACAGTCAATGAATGAAATTTAGGCACTTGACAACCAGTTCATACTAACATTGCAGCGTCCCACAATCATCCAGTCACCATTTGTGACCTTTTCTGACGGCTTCCCACAAGCAAAATCAATAGGGAAGCTGGCAGGGAAGATCACAGGTCACTTGGGTAAGTCTTCCCTGACCTATCTTTGCTCTCACCCATCAGCATCCTCTTCCTCCTCTGTCCTCTATGCATTCATACACACCCCTGTGCTCTCCTCAGCTTTCCTCATCACTCCACCCCCACCCTCTTTCAACTCACACATGGCCTGCTCCTGGGCTCCCCCATCCACTCCTGCACTTTTCATCTGGGTCTGCTTTTTCTTCCCACTTAACAACCCAGATCTTTTAAGTTATGGTGGTAACTGGGACTGCCTGGATTGTCATTGCTAAGCATTGTGGTCTCGTGATATCATGCTTTATCATCACAGCACTTAGCAACGGCAATCCCAGACCCAGTGGCAGTTGTAACTCAAGGATTACCTGTAGCAAGTTTAGGGGGCTAGTCAAATTTGTATTCTCGATAAGTCTATTGCCCTCTACTCTGTGCTTAATCAAAGAATAGAAGTCCTAAGTCTCACTCTAAGGAGCAACTAAAAACAGAAGATGCAAATACAAAGGTAAAAGGTTAAAGTTTCAATGTTGTAAGTTACTATGATTTGTTTGTTTGTTTGTTTATAATTTTTACAAAGTGATGAACATATTCAACATACCCTCCTCCTCCCATTTTTATCACAACCACCACTCTCTGAGGTGTGTTGGACTGAGAGAGAGTGGCTAGCCCAAAGTCACTGAGCTGGTTTTCATAGTTATGGCAGGACTTGAGGAATGATAAATGTAGGCCAATACAAGTCTGTCTAAAACATAAAGGTTCCCTATTCAGTCATGTCTGACTCTAGGGTGCGGTGCTCATCTAAGTCAAGGGAGCCAGTGTTGTCTGAAGACATATACAGTGTATGATGAACTCTTAATATGATACAAAATTTCTTTCTTTCAGAGGCCCGACAACTTGGTGTTGGTTACTTTGCCTTTGCCCGTGAGCAGACTTTGAGAAAAAAACAAATGGACACTTTAGAAATGCTAAGAGAACAGGTACGATGTTTAACAGTCTACCAAGTGTGGGAAATTTCCTGATGTTCTGAAATGTGCATCCCAGCATCCCTCAGTAATGGACATGTTGACTAGGCTGTTGGTAATTGTAATTCAACATCATTTGTAGAGCAGTATGTTCTCCATCCCTAAACGTACACTGTGAAATACTGGAGCCTTTCTCAGATGCTTGTGTCCTCTATTCTTGGTGAACTGGGTCTCTGAATAACATAAAGAAGTGGTGTGTCCCCCTCCCCCCCCCCATCCAAGAGCCACATTTGGTAGCTGATGGACCAGGGAAGGCATTTATAGACTTGCGCTCTGAATTGCAGAAGGGAGGTGGTATGATTCTCCCGCTTTTAAAATGGCTGTTCAATAATATGGGCAAAACAGGAGAGACCCAAATAGGTTTATTTGAAAGGAAATCAACCGTATTTTTTGGACTATAAGACATACCGGTGTATAAGATGCACCAAGATTTCAAAGAGGTAAGTAATAAAAAAATATTTTGTCTCTNCTAAGCGGTTTACAGAGAGTCAGCATATTGCCCCCAACAATCTGGGTCCTCATTTTACCCACCTCGGAAGGATGGAAGGCTGAGTCAACCTTCATATGTTTCCTTCAGTTATTCTTCCTACATGATTAAACCAATTCATTATATTTTTTGTACTGGTTTTGTATTCTATCCATATTCACTAAATAAAACCACATTCTAAATGAAATAGGTAATTTATTCTTGGCCCTATTTTTTGTTTCATTTTATGCCTACCATAAATAATATATTCAGCTTTGTTTTTTTCACTAACATACAACATTTATTTCAATTCTGTTTTTTGATGCAAATTGTAAAAGCTCTGCAGGTCATCTGTGAGTTAGAGTAAAAAGCAGCCAAATAACTTGTTTGAAAATTTATTATTACAGAAACCAACCATTTGGACTAAGCAGAACAAAGGGGTTTCAGATCGAGCTGAAAAAGACGTTGAGCAGAAGATAGAGGAGCAGCAAACGCTAGATAAATCAAGGTGTTTCATTTCTAAGAAAAGCAGACTTTACTAAATATTGTAAATAAGATTATAAAGAAAATAGGATGTAGCTTATCTATAAATCCTAAAAATATGATGTAGGATTGTGCTACATTATGAACCTATCCAGAATATGCTGATAAGAGCATCAAGGTAGACTCTGTCCCCCCAAAAGGAGAAAGAACCCAAAGAAATGCCCCTTTTTCTCTTAGCATTTGGAAAAACTTGAAGACACTCTTTTTAAACTAGATATTAGATAAGACTTGATAATGACTAGATAGCTATGCTATTATGAGGGCATTTAGCTGTAATTTCGTTAGCAGTAATGGTATTATAGAGAGAAAGGAACAAGATAGTGTCTGTGATCAAATGAAAATACATATGCAAGGGACCAGGTCCCATCCCCATCCCCAATCATTGAATATGGTTTTAAACAATGTTAGCAATGCTGCTTTTCATAGTGAATTTTGATAAATTGTAGAGCATTTTGGGAAGCATTCATTGCTGAATTTATTTTCAAAATTACTTCCAGACAATCATTCTGAACCATTATCAAAAGGGTGCATATCTTTTGAGCATGTAGAGGATGTACAGGCACACATATGATGCTTCGGTCATGTTCCCAAGAATGAAAAATGGCCTTTAAAAACTACTTCGAGAGAAGGCAATCTTGACAGCGTATAGTGGTCTTTAGTTACCGGTATATTGCCTCATATTTTGTATGACAAAAATTCACTGCTATGAAATAATAATGAAAAGGGGGATGGGCAGTTAAGAAATTTAATTAATAAAAATGGTGTGTTACTGTTTTTAGGCAAAAACTGGAAGAGAAAGCACATCTGTATGAACAAATGACTAAGGGAGATTTTCCAGGTGAATACCTTTAGTTTTCTTAGGATTTTATGTGAAACATTTTTTTGATAAAGACTTTACTGTAAAATGCTGTTACTAGTAATAAGCACTCAGTAATTCTTATTTCAAAATAGGCATGTCTAAGGAAGCAGTAAAAGCGTATGATGTGTATGCAGCTGTCATAACCTTCCTTACTGAAATAACTAATTTTGTCCTTGATATAAAACAGTGGGAAAAATTTGCTCTAAGTTACTTTAACATTAAGTTCTGGAAAACTGCAGTGCCTTAAGAGAAAGCTTATGTTTCTACTTCTGAAGACCAATGGCTAGGGAATTCTGGGAACTGAAGTCCACACATCTTAAAAGCTGCTGAGGTTGAAAAGTACTGCTGTAGACAAGTACTGCTGCTGCCATTTGTCAAAGTAGATGCCTTTATCCTCTTCCTGCAAAGAACTTGGCCAGTACAGTGGCTTTTTCTTTGTGGGGGTTCCATTCCAGCCAAGGTGGATAATGGCATAACAGATGATAACTTTGGGAGAGAAACATTTTTCCATGAGCATCATATAGTCATTTTTCTCAACAATTCAGACTCAATACATTACATACTCAACGTTCTTTATAGTTTGAAATATTCCATTTTCCTCTACTTCTTTAATTGTGCAGAAGTGCTAATTCAATTGTACTTAGCAAAAAGGGCTCCCCCCCCCCCCGTGGTAATCCTCCATGTTGTCATAGAATACAATGTTTCTGTTTCAGCATTGCTTGAATGTCTCTTAGGTCCCGAATAAATTTGGCATTCTTTTCCATTGGCTGAAGGCACGCTAACGTGACAAATTTTTATTAAACAGTTTATTTTAAAGCAATGAGGACAAGTGGGTTGGGGATTACCTAGTTCTAGCCCATATGCCTCCTTTCAAGTACATTCAGAAGTTCTATTCAGGGGGGACTTCCTGGGGGCGTGGCCTGTTGCCGAGGAGGGCTCCACCGAGCTCCTCAGAGAACTGGTCTGTATATCTAAATAAGATCATAGATAGCACCCCTTTTTGGCTAAGAAAGGGGCAGGGAGGATAGCTCCGTAGACTAGGGTCTATTCGTAAGCCACAGCCTTTTTTTTTTTTTGGCTGTGGAAGAGATTAGATCCAGCCGAAGCGGAGCTTTTATCTCCGGCCAGTTCTTCTCAGCTGCCTTTTTTTTTTTTTTGGCAGCCCCAGACAGGCTAGCCCCCCCCCAGGACAAAACAAAGTTTTTTCAAGCTAGAATTGATACGGGAGGGTACCACCCCTGTGAGATTTATGCTTTTATTACTATCTTAAATACCAGC